ATATATATATATATAATAATAATACATTTGATTTATATAGCACACTTTAAAGACAAACGTCATCTCAAGGTGCTTCACAAAGCTATAAGGAAAAATAAGTAAAAAGATATCTAAAGGAGCATATTGGATAAAATATGACAATATAAAAAATAAAAGGTAAAGAGCATAAAAGGTTTAAAAAAATATATAAGTTAATAAGCCCTTTAACTGCTGAAATGTTTATTTGAGAGCATAAAAAACTATAATAACCTGAAGTGTGTCCGTCTTCTTTACAGATGAGTTCTGGGAGGCTCTGGGAGGAAAGGCAGAATATCGCACTTCTACCAGACTCAAGGACAAGATGGACGCTCACCCACCCAGACTCTTCGCCTGCTCCAACAAGACTGGAAACTTCATCGTAAGCTAAACAACTAAAAGACTCCTTTAATCAACAACAACTTGCCTTTCCAGAATAAATGTCTCAGTTACTTTGGAAAATCCACTGAACAGTTTTTACAAAATGAATGATTGAACATCGTACACATCCTTCTCTTCGACTCAGATTGAGGAGGTACCCGGGGAGATGACCCAAGAGGACCTCGCCCCCGATGATGTCATGATCCTGGACTCCTGGGACCAGGTAAAGAAACCAGAGCATTCACAGTCTAAGACATAAATGAACAGCAGTCACCACGATGTAAGGCACCAATGTGTTTAAAACCTTCCTTTTTGTAGGTGTTTGTCTGGATCGGAAATGAGGCCCAAGAGGAGGAGAAGACTGAAGCCATGAAGTCTGGTAAGGACATCTGGGAAAAAGCTCCACATTATGTTATTAAGATATATTTACTTCTGTGGAGATTAAATCATTTAGACTTGTGAAAAAGTAGGAGAAAAAGGTAAATGCCACATAAACTTGGCTCCATGTATACACATTTCAAAATAATTCTTTGCCATCCTAAACTGACTTTTTTGAGAATGTTTAAAGGTCCCATGTCATGCTTTTCCGTTTATTACCCGTCCCCTTGTGTGTTATGTAGCTTTGTATGCATGCAAACGGTCTGCAGAGTCACAAACCCTCAAAGTACACCCTGTACCGAGTAAAACTGTAACACAGAAAAGACCTGTCTATGCTGCCCCAGAAGGCCTCGTTGGAGATTTCTCTTTCTTCCTGGTCAAAGTGACCTAACGACGACCAAATGGACCAATTGGTGGTGTTCCCCACACACNTTTGTGTGTGTGTGTGTGTGTGTGTGTGTGTGTGAGTGTGTGTGTGTGTGTGTGTGTGCTCAGGCTGAGTTCCGACACCAGTAATATAGCTCACACTGTCCGCTTCAGCAGCGAGCCCCGCAACGTCCCGCCAACACGGCACCCATACCCCACGCAGCATTCTCATCCGTTTGTCATTACTGGTGTCATTTTCTGGTTGCTAACAAACGCCATTGTAACACATAATCACTGATGTTCCGCTGTAACGGTGGTGGACTCATCAGAACATAGTGGGCGAGCTGACCAATCAGAGCTCATAGGGAGGGGGCCCAAGGGGGGGGCAAGAGCTCTAACAAGCCATTTAGGACAGAGTGAATACACATACTATACAGAGATGCTGTATGAGAAACCAATGTGATTTTGAAACATTTAACAATGTAAATCTATTCTAGTAGACCTCAACAATGGAATTATGATCAGTAGAAATGGCCATGTCATTGGACCTTTAAGGAGTATTGAGATTTTGTTATACCAATTAAAAAAAACACATTTAACATTTCAATTGAGAACATCAGGAACATTTCACATTGCACTACAAGCCCAAAACAAAACTACATACAGAAGCCCTGTAAGGCAGTGAAACAAATATTCTGAATAATCTTCACTCCTGTGTTTGACTTGACAAAAGATGGTCAAAAAGTTTTGTTCAGAGATTTTAGGCAAAGTTGAGATTTAGTTTTATATGGATTAAGAGAACTGTTTGTCTCACTTGCATTGTAGGGCTTCCGTAGAAACAAAAGTAATTTAATCTTATTTCGACTTATTAAATATAAACATTTCAAACATAGTACATTACATAATCAAAAGGTATTCAAAGTGACTTACCTCATACTGGACATCACTGATCAGTTTGCATGTCTTTTTTCTGCTCTGCATTTCAAATGCCATGACGCTTAGTAAAGAATCTCCTCTTCCTCCTCAGCGGGCCAATATATTGAGACAGATCCGGCCAACAGAGACCCCCGGACGCCCATCGTCAAGATCAAGCAGGGCTTCGAGCCACCCACCTTCAGCGGCTGGTTCCTGGGCTGGGACCACGAGTACTGGGCCAGCGACCCCCTGGAGCGCGCCATGGCTGAACTCGCCCTGTGAGACACCCCCCCCAATCAGCCCTGACCTTCAACTCCGCTGCTCCCCCGCAAGCACTAAGCAATCAGAAGACTGTTAGCCGCCAATACGCCCAGATGTCTTTACCTTTTATAGTGTTTGTGAGCAACACAGGTTGTTTCACTTTTTCTCAACAGATAGCAATAGAGCTTTAACAGACACACAGGCTTCCTTTAGGATTTGCACTAAAAATTGCTTTATTGAAGCCAATTTTTTTTTTATATACGAGGACTTTTAGACCTGGTCACTAGTGAAATGTAATGCAAACAAATCAGAAACTCACCGCAGAAAGCAATACAGCCGATGCCTTAATACTCTTTTCCTGTAGTTTACAGTCAACCTGATGTTTTACAAAAGGTACTTTTCTAGTTGAAAGTTGCCTTTATAGATATTGCACCTTTATTTATTGTTTTTAAATGTCCCAGGAAAGCTTGTGTGATGCTGCAACTATAAAAAGGGAAACCAACGCTTTGCTGCTTTTCAAACCAGTCACGTCTTCTGTGAATCTTTCTAAGGTTTCCCTAAGCCTTGTCATCATTTCAATAAAACCAGATTAAACGTGAAGTGTTTATTGTCTCTGATTTAACCCATGCTGAAAATAATTTAATCCGTAGACGGAAATGCTGTATGATACTGCTTTATTTCAGGTTTTCATATAGTCAGATTTTGTCAGGATAAAACTATAGCAAACAATACAAAGTAAAACTGGTTAGCCGCTAAAACTGAACACCATAAATGCTGAATAAAACTTTAGAAAATAAAACTGATGTGTGTAAGATGTTTTAGAAGATAGCAATGTAAGTAATACTTCAATGAGAAGGGTTTTCCTGAAGTGTAAGCAATGCTACAAGAGACTATTTCTCTTTGTCCTGGAACAAAGGTTATCTAACATCGTTTGCTATGTAGCCGTAGCACAAATTCTCCCTGCTTAAATAAAAAAAGTTGAATTCAAGCCGAGATTTGGCCGTGGCAAACCTGAAACCGCGTCGGAACGCAATTATATATATTGTATATATAAACACATAGTATACTAACAGACATACACTACATACTTTTACGAACATTTACCAACACGTCTGCCCTTTATGTCGAAAGGAGGAAAACATAACAACCACATGTTAGTTTGAAGAAAGATAAATACAAATAACATGGAACTATTTGGCTTGTTAACACTTAGAAAGAGCATATGTGATCAAATATTGTTTAAAATGCTTCAGCTGATTTCATTTGAAGGTGCATAGATATGTCGTCAGGCTGTAAAATGATCCATGGCAGTGATTTAAGGCTTTTGGCTGAATAATTTGCAGAGAAAAAGTTTTATTGAACGGTAGCGCTTAGGTGTAGCTAATGAGGTTGTATGCTAAAGTATGACGTTTCAAATGTTTTGTCCACCCATCTAAACAATACATATACCTGGTATGAATAGTGTAAACATTGGTAACATCCTGCCTGACAATACTTAAGTACTGGCTCATGGAGAAAAGGTGTTTAACGCACAGTCCACACTACAGAAGAATTAAGCACATTTTTAATATATTTTTTATAATGTCCCTTATAATGAGGGTAAAAGTGTTTTTCACATCTCCCAATCCTAAATAGAAATAAAGCTTGTTTCCATGTTTACGCTCTGACACCCTGCTGCATGGTGGGGACAGCCGTTAAATGTTATCACAGGGCGCGATTTGTGAGAGTTTCAATATCTGTTGGAGTTTAAAAAAGGTATTAGTGCTGGCCTGCTGTCACAGAGATGAAATGGTACAGCATGTGAATTTCTGTGTGAATCTTGTAATGCTACTTTGGCCGCTTTCTATTTTCTGAATCCATTTAGATGACGTCATTGCACCATGGATCCATCGTGTGTGTTTGTAAGGCCACATATCTTTCTTTTAATAGAGTTTGCCTCTCACAGGCATAGATCATACATGTGGTCAGTTTTGTTCTAGAGGTGTTAAAATGCAAAAGTGTCATCAGAGCACTTAATAGACACAGGTCCTAAAGGTGTGTTATTGTGTGTGTGTGTGTGTGTGTGTGTGTGTGTGTGTGTGTGTGTGTGTGTGTGTGTGTGTGTGTGTGTGTGTTTAGAGTTAGCGTGGCAGTGTGATAGAGTGCAGAGCCAAGCGTCTAAGTGAATTGAAAACAAAGAGTCAACAGCAGATTTGTTGATGGTCCTTTTAGTGCTGTTTGCTCTTTTAGGTTCTCTGACATTATCATGAACATGTGGTCAAAAAAAAGATTGATTGATGCGCTATGAGGAACACTATCTGATCGTTTCAAGAGGTTTTAGAGTTGATTTGATAAAAAAACAGGAAGCCCACACAACTCTGGCATCCTTTCTGTGCTGTGGTTTCTGCTGCCTGTAGGCCACTGGTTTAGATTCAGCCTTTCTCCAAATGACTCATCACATAAACCATAACGTTCAATATATGGGAAGAAAAAGCTCTTGTTTATAAGCTTTATAGTAAAATAGAATGCAACTACACCTACATTGTAATGTGAAAATCTAAACATGAACTTGTGAAACAACTGGCTTAGAAGATATTTTAGTTTTGTTGAGTTATTTTCTCTACAAAGCAGATGTTACGGCATAACAAAATTAGATGTTGTTCAATTCTTATTATCCCCACAGAAAAGAAAGGTAAAGACAATCATCATGTAGTATCTAAGTGGAGAAAAACGAAGATGTGGAGAGGACAAAAAACAAATGCTGGTGAATAAAAGATTTTCTGACCTGGGCCTTTTGCTCCTCCTCGCAAAATCCGCCCCAGGCGAAAGATAATGGCTCGCTCGTACTCCTTCACAATCTGCGTACAAAGACAAACCAGATAAATGGTATTTGCGAGTTTGCTCTTTCTTTGTTATTTGACATTTTACACATGTAAACAGATATTGAGATATGTAAATGGTGAAACACAGAGCAATTACCCTGCTCGCTGTGGATGCCTTTTAATTAAGTAAAGGCAAAACAATAGCTGTTAAGTAAATAATATAGAAGATGAGCCTGCAATGGAAGCCATATGATGTGGAAAACACTGAACAAACAGAGCAGGCTTTCCTCAAATATGTACTACCGGCAAGCTTTATTTGTAAAGTGGAAAATAAACACTTGATTTCACTGGCAGCTGACCTTAATGCACATCCATACAGAGATGGGCAGAGTGAGCAGCATGAGAAGGATGGAGAGGGCCACCAACAGCCAGCCACACAAGCCGATGTCATTGTCCGAATCTTCCAAGGCTAGGGGAAAAAAAACAACAGATATAAATGTTTAGTGGAAGTAAATGCGTACTGAAATGAACACAGTGAAGAAGCACATTTTAATAATCTCTTTCTATAGACATACATTTCTAATCCAATCATACATCAGAGCAGCCTTTTCATCCATCTCCGAACATCCACCTTTTGTAAATGTGGTTAGTTAAGATTAATGGCACCTCCACCCACATGTTATCTTAGTGCACAATTGATCATGACATGCAACCATTAAATGAGGGAGATCCGTACCTTCAACATCACGTAAATCATACCTGCTTGAACCTACAGACAAAGTGATAAGTCAGAGCGCTGTTGAACCACTTACAGTACATGGTGTTAAAACGACGTTTTGCCTAGTTTAAAGTTAGGGGAACAAGTGGCCAACATGTAGCCCTAAACTGGCCTGGATTGGTGCTGATGCTGCTCTACATCCCTGCCATGACGTCACTGACATAATCAATTCTGATTACCACAGGGCTTCATAAAATGACCCCACCCTGGCCTGTAGTGTGGCTAACGTTGCGAACAAGGTTTGTCCTCATGTCCTAAACACATAAAACACTACCTAACCTTATATCTCAGGATGTCGGCGTGTACAATTTGTTTCCCAACCTATATAACGTCAGTACCCACGTTATCTATAAACATAACCTGCGAAAAAGCCAACCACCGAACAACCGTTAGTCATTTCTAGCAAACGTTAGGTTCATTTTATAATACAACCAGTGTTATTATATTAAACTGCATTTGTTTCACACGTTACCGACAGCTTAATGTATAGTACGATACTAGCTTGTGAGTGGAGCATGCTAACGTATTGGTCAATGTTAGCTATCAGGAATTAGCATTGACTGCTAACGCTGCGTTCGATATGTTCACACCAGGTTAACAATTCCAGTTGAATAAACCATTAATGCACGAGCCAAATTATATGGTATTCGTGTTTGGTTTTGCTACTGCTGAATACACGCTGTTATCTAAACTGACCCACATAGCACGCTTTTTTAAAGTGAGAAAGCGTTACCTGATTGACGCTCTCGTCTTTTTGATTCTCTCATGGCTACCTTTTCTTCGGCGTTATCCATAGATGAGGCGAATAACGTATATATAACGGTGACAGGGAGCAACGGTCGCCTTGTGTTTCCTGGAGAGCGTACGAGCTGCTGCAGAGAAAGTGGAGTGAGTTTGCCCTCAACTCTGACTTGTAGGTGCTATGACGCAGAAAGGGGGTCGCGTTTCCCAGGCATATTTTGTATGTGTAATTACTAATTACACATTTTCAGAGGTGGGAGAAGTACTCTTATAGAATAAAATCATTTATTGTCATTATACAGGTACAATGAGATAGTAGAGCTACTCCTTTTTTTAAGGTGCCATCAAAAATACAAAAAACAAACAAGAGACGTACAACATTCAGGAGAATACAACGTACACACAACAAGCAATCATATTTCAATATGCAGATAAAGTTAAAGTGCAGGAATGTATAGGTTTAAGTAAAAGTAAATATGTTTGAAAGTGTAATATCTTGTGTATGAAGAGTGTATGAATACTCTGTTACAATTAAAAGTCCTGCATTCAAAATCTTACTCAAGTAAAAGTACTCATGTATCCATCAACATATTTTAAGTACTAACAGTTCTCATTATGCAAATTGATCTATTTCTGAATAATATATTTTATATAAAGCTAAAAAGACTACAGACACTGCTTTGGATATTGTTACTATGCAAGGACAAGTACTCAAAGTGGTTACCTGTTATAAATACCTAGGTATCTGGGTTGATGATTGTCTTACTTTTAAACTTCAGGTCATTAATCTGCTTAAAAAGCTGAGGGTTAGGCTAGGTTTCTTTTTCAGAAACAAGTCCTGTTTCTCATTTGAAGCCAGGAAAAGGCTATTTTCTGTGACCTTTTTACCTGTGCTGGACTATGGTGATTTGATCTATATGAATGCACCTGCCCATTGCCTGGAAAAGTTAGATGCCGCCTATCACAGTGCACTGAGATTTGTTACTAACTGTAAAGCACTTACTCATCACTGTACCCTGTATGCCAAGGCAGGTCTGCCTTCACTAACTGTACGGAGGCTCAGTCATTGGTACATGTTCATTTACAAAGCCATGTTGGGTAAACTACCTTTTTATATCTGCTCTCTGATCTCTCGACGAATTGAAAGTACTTATTGCCTGAGATCTCATGATGTTGTTTTATTAAATGTGCCAAGTGCTAGGACTGTCTTAGGGAAGAAAGCTTTTAGTTGTGCAGCTCCACTAACTTGGAACAGTCTGCAAACATGTTTAAAACTGAGCACTTTGGTTCCCCTGCATCATTTTAAAACTCGGCTGGGTGACATGCTGTTTGATACTCATGGTACCTGTCACTGTAAATAGAGTTTGTAAACTGTACCCTGTACATTATGTTGTATGTCATCCTTATTGTTGTTCTGTTGTTTTTAATTTTACATGACATGTAACATAAAAACAACAGAACACACCTGCAGGACATTAGTTACACATTGTGTAACTAATGTCCTGCAGGTCACCCTTGAAAAAGAGATCTTTTGATCTCAAGGGGCTTTCACCTGGTTAAATAAAGGCTACAAACAAACAA